GACACATTTTTTTTAAATTGCCGAACATGGTGAAATGTAAGAAACTAGTAAGAATAAATAGTTTTTATATATAAAATATTGAAACATTTTTCCCGTTTGACTGATTCCATATCTTTCAGGTGTTACCGAAAGTAAGCCACAGTAACTGAAGAAATTCCAAGTCGATTATTAATAAATTGGGAACTGAACAGTTGACAAAAAAAAAATCGATAGTTAAGCAAAAGTATTTTGTGTAATGGACAGCGCCCTTAGGGCTAGTCGTTGGAGCTTCGACTGTACTGTCGATTACACCAAAGTTATTTAGTTGAAGATTGCAGTGGCGAGTGGAGCTCACAAGTCGCTAACTCTAGGAGATTTACGGTTAGACTAAAGAAACTGATCCTGAGACTGATATTCAACACAATACATCAAGTTTATTTAAGTTTCTTAACATAAAATCACTTCTTTAATCATTTGTTAACTCTTCATAAAAAAGCACGTTTAGGTTAACAACACTGATAACTATAACTCATATAGAACATCAAGTTTCTTTTTTTCTTAACTTTCATATCCCTCTTTAGAATCTATCCAAATTCACATTAACTGATGAATTGAGAAATAGTTTCATTTCCTACATCATAGTTGATCTGGTAAATCCTTGCAGCTGCGAAACCTTATGTTCATAGTTTCTGGATTATCAGAAACTCTGGGGAGAATTTCAGTTCTTCCTGGAGAGAACTCTGATTTTGAGTTCCAGACACGAGTTTTTAAACCACATTTTCTTTGTATTCTTTTGACTTTCCAAATAGTATTCCTAACTACCTGCAAGTGGTTTTAACACTTTATTGGTCAGTCTGTGCAACTTTCCGGGCTAATCCAAAACTCTCAAGTAATTAGCTACTGTGATGGTGAATGCTCCGGTTGCCTTGTTACTTGTACTATTACACTGGTCTACAGTAACAGATCTCGTATCAAAGCGCCAGTTTGAGATGTTATCATAAACCTTTTAGTAGCCTTTACTGTACTACTAACTCGGCTTTGGTAACTTATCACTGTCAAACTTATGGCTAGCGTTTATCTCATCATCTCTGTAGCTTCATTTTTACTTCACTTAACTAGTGATTCTCAATACCACTTAACCAGCTCGCTGTACTTTCCTAGCTCTTGACCTTATTTTGCAAAACAGCCGTATTTTACTTACGCCATTTCTTCATGTATATGCTCACTTAGAAAACTCAGAAAATCGTTACAACTTTTTTCTTAAACTCTTTTTAAACGCTAAAAATACTGAAGCAATTTTAAAATTCCCTCAAAAATATCCAGTTGTTTCATTTGTAACAAGAAAAATATTTTGGCAGACGCGACATATTTGCAGAAATAAATCCTGGTGTCCACGCCCTACAAAACTGCGTAAAATTTACTCTAATGTAGGGTGTTATGTCTCAGTTCGTTAGTTAATTTTCCGTAAATTCGTTCCGACGAAACTTTAGCGACACAAGTCTTTTCT